CAGCTGGTGACTTTGGGCACAGTTGTTTTACTTTGTTTTCAAACTTATATATATTTATTATATATATCTGAACCTGGGAAAGACTGAAGGCAAAAGGAGAAGGGGGCGGCAGAGGATGAGATGGTTAGATAGTATCACTGACTCAGTGGACATGAATTTGAGCAAATGAGAGAGTGAAGGACAGGGGAGCCTGGCGTGCTGTTAGTCCATGGGGTGACAAAGAGTCAGACACAACTTATCGAGTAAACAAAAACAAATGGGATGTGAGTCCTGCTTATCTTGTGGGGATTGGGAAAACTAAATGGGATGGTTTGTGTAAAAGGCACTTGACACATTTTAAAGTCAGTAGATGGGGAAGTGATGACAAAGATGAAGTGATGCTATGGCACACATGTGCTGTTTGTTCATCCATGCTTAGCCCTGAGCACTGCTAATTCCTCCTGTTCAATGATCTGATTCCTCATTTCCCCATTGCTGACTGTGCTTCTGCAAATGAAAATCTGATTTTTAATTATTGGTCACTAAAACCAAACCATCTTCACAGAGCTTGGGCCAAAAGGGCATTTACTGACATTCGCCTGGGGCACCCGAGCTGGGGGGAGGGGAGGATGGCAGGGGAGAGGGATCTGGAGTCAAGGATCTTCCATCCTAGAAGTGGGGGATGGGGCATTTTCTGGGCAGAGCATGTGAATGAAAAGGACCAGCTCATCCGGCCCTGTGGGACCCAGGAGACCTGGCAGTCTGGAGTTCCCAGCTGGATGATCAAAAGAGACTTTACTCTGTGGCCACTGTTTCCCGCACAGGCTTCCATCCTCAGTACTGTCTGTGCTCTGGGGGCCCCGAGGCCCTGCCTCCCAGGTGTTAACACCTGGTGTCCATGAGAAAGGACAAGTGCCCTGGGGTATGAACCGGTGGTGGGACTGGGAGGCAGGGCTCTTCCATGGCCTGGGGCTTCCCTCATAGCTCAGTTGGTAAAGAATCTGCCTGCAATGCAGGAGACCCCAGTTCGATTCCTGGATCGGGAAGATCCCCTGGGGAAGGGAAAGGCTACCCACTCCAGTATTCTGGCCTGGAGAATTCCATGGACTATATAGTCCATGGGGTCGCAAAGAGTCGGATATAACTAAGCGACTTTCACTTTCACTTTCATGGCCTGGCACCTGGTCCTTCTCCCCTTACTGACCAGTGCACTGGCTGAAGCCTCCCCTGAGCCTTCCGCTGCCTGTATCCTGTGGCCCTTCCACCCCCAAGTTTTCCCTGTCTGTCCCCCACCAGGGAGGGCAGGGCAGCCTTATTCTTCGTGGGGTTCCTAGTTCCTTGAGCAGAGCTGGGCTGGTGGGAGAGCTGGGTAAAAGCATATTGAGCTGACCAGGTCAGGCCGGTCATGGGCCCACTGGGCTTCACCTGGGCAGTTCCTGCTTCTACTGGTTGGTCTCAGGGTTAGTGCTTAAGCTCATGTCTAGCCTATCTGGCTTAGTTTGTTGCCTTCTAGAGAGGTCTCCATTTAAAGCATTCTTCAAGCTGCCAGCCTCCTGCTGCTCCACTTGAGGAGTCCTGTGGAGGACAGTGGCTCAGAGCAGACCAGGGCGGCTGGGCCAACAGGCTGATCACAGCAGATTCTGGAGGTGCCATGTCCCCTGACAGTTGAGCCCAGGCTTTCCAGCTGCTCCGGCCCCTGGCCAAGAGCCTGCTCCTCCTGCCTTTCCAGACCTGGGGTCACTTCCCCCTCAGTCCTCCTGCTGCACTTTCTCTGACCCTCTAGTGGAGCCCCCTTTGCTCGAGTCTCCACCCAGCACTCCCCTGGCAGGCTACAATGTCAGGGGACCAGGTCCCCAGTTTCCTGTGTTCTGACTGTGTCTAGGGCTGTCCTTTGTGCATCTTTTGGTCAGGGTGATGTAGAGCAGTGGTTCTCAAACTTTTTGATCTCAGGTCCCCTTTACACTCTTAAAAATTGTTGAAGACCCTAAAAAGCTCCTGTTTATTGTGTTTTTTCCCAGGACTGTGCTGTAATGGAGCTGTCTCTGACCAGCTGGCTGGTGGTTGTCATCTCTTTTCCTGACTCTGTTCAGTGACATTACTTTGGTGACTTAAAATGGGCCATGGTGAGAATATTTACAGTATGGCAATGGCTAATGCTACATATCAGGGCTTTATTGTTTGGATACCTGGTTGTTTACCACTTATCAGCAACGCAGTTATATCTACCTGCATTCACCATCTCATAATTCAAAACTGGGAAATCTGTAAAACACAGAAATACACTGTATACATCTCACTAGGCATCAGAGTGGGGATGCTTCACATGTCATCAAGCTCTGAAAAACTCCTGGATGCATTTGTGAGAGAATGACAGTGAAAAAGGCAAATAATGTCTTAGTATTATTATGAAAATAATTTGACATTTCAATTCCCCTGGGAAAGGTCAGTCCAGGGGTTCCCAGACAGCAACATAAATTTTACAGTATCATGAATATCTGTCTCTTTTATGAATTGAATATTTGTGTTTCCCTAAATTCATAACCTTCAATGTGATGGTAATAGGAGGTGGAGTCCTTGGGAGATGATTAGGGAATAAGGGTGGAGCCCTCACAAACAGGATTAGTGCCCTTATAAAAAGATGCAAGAGAAAGATGGCACCACCCTTCCCATCCCACTCAGCAGTGTGAGGACACAGTGAGGTGATAGCCATCAATAACAGGAATTGGAGCTGTCCTGAGAAGGGCCCTGGGAGAGAAAGAGGGTCCTTCCTGGGACTTAGAGGGCCCTGCATGTGGAAAATGGGCCTTGCAGGCCTTGGCTGAGCAGGCTGATGCCTTGCTCAGGCCTGAGGTTTGCTGAATAGGGAGAGGACTAATGAGGGCCCAGCCCCTGGAGTTTGCCCTTCCTGTGAGTCTCTGTGGCCCACCAGACATGGTGGCTTTGAGCCCTGCAGTAAACTCCCACCAGAAATGCTGGGCTCTGGGTGGGAGACTGCAGGAGCAGTTGGGGCACAAGTGAGTAGGGGACTGTAGGACCACTCCCCTGACAAGTGCCCACACATCCCAGCAAGGCACCTTGTCTGGGCACCTCCTCAGAAGGGGAAGTGACACCTTGCCAGGGAGGCCCTTTCCTTCAGCTCTAATCTTCCAACCAGCCCGGGTGAGGGAAGCATGGCTAGTAGGATGAGTTTTAATGAGACCAGATACATGGACACATGTCTTTCAGATTGGATTTTTTGGTACTAGGATTTGCCCAAAGGGAGGTTTGACACATGTCTGCAAGTAGTGATTGGAGGAGAAATAAATGCTGTTTGCACTCAAACCACTGACATCAGACTCATAGGTCAGCTGAGCACAAGAACTTCCCCTCCTACACTTTAAAGCACACATGAGGAATGTACGGAGTGCAGGTGGGGGTGCTAGAAAGAAGGTTATTGTCCTGTCAGCCATCTCCTGTCTGCACTCCATCTGCTGTCCCCCGTCTGATGTCCCCATCTGCTGTCCCCCATCTCCTGTCCCCCGTCTGCTGTCCCCCATCTGCTGTCCCCCGTCTCCTGTCCCCCGTCTGCTGTCCCTGTCTGCTGTCCCCCATCTGCTGTCCCCCGGCTGCTGTCCCCCTTCTGATGTCCCCGTCTGCTGTCCCCCATCTGCTGTCCCCCGTCTCCTGTCCCCCATCTGCTGTCCCTGTCTGCTGTCCCCCATCTGCTGTCCCCCGGCTGCTGTCCCCCGTCTGATGTCCCCGTCTGCTGTCCCCCATCTCCTGTCCCCCGCCTGCTGTCCCCTGTCTGCTGTCCCCCATCTCCTGTCCCCATCTGCTATCCCCGTCTGCTCTCCCCGTCTGCTGTCCCCGCCTGCTGTGTGCTCTCTGCTGTACCTGCCTGCCATCCCATCTAGTGTTGTGAGCCCACACCTGCTTGCTGGAGGTTGTCTAGCCTGGTCTAAGGGACATAATCTTTTCTTCAAAGTGGGCTCCTCTAAGAATGCCCCCAATGTCAGACCAGTTTCTGGGAGTTCATCAGGGATGTGTATCTTTGAGTGAGTGTGCCCTCTCTTTCCATTGGCCCCTAACTTCTCAGGGCCAATGTCAGGAAGGATATTCTGCATGAGTTGAAGTCAAAGATCTTAAGGGAAAACAGTTTGCTAGGTGTCAGGAGGAGGCGTCTGACTCCTCCCGGCTTATGTCTGCTCTTTGGCCCCTCCTGAACGTTTCAGTGTGGAAGGGGTCACTGAGGACTGCATTATAGGGGTGACAGGGCCAGCACTCACCTTTGGGGCTGGCCCTGAGCACGCAGGCAGCTCTGGGGGGTCTGTGCGGGAAATCCTGAACTCAGTGGGGGTGGGGGGTGGGCACTAATTCCACCCTGTCTCTGGGAGGACTGCTGATTGGGCTTATTTTCCAGGCCCCATTCCTTACTCTCGAGTCCCAGGAGGCCTGGGGAGCAGGCAGAGGCCTGAGACAGGGGTGCATTTTTGGAATTCCAAGCATGTCTGCTTCCTTTCCAGGCCCTTCTCAGCCAGGAAGTCAAGAGCTGTGCAAGCCTTAGCTCCGGGCTCCTGGTTAGTCCCACCCCAAGGGTCGGGGGAAGGGGGAGTGGCCATTCCACACTGTTGCCTAATGGAATGTGCCCAGCCAGGGCTTCCCACATCATCCAGCAGCTTCTGCTCAGGTGCAGGCCAGTTCATCCATCTCTCCAGTGCTGGAATGGTGGACCGGACCTGGTCCCAGGGCATGGTATACTAGAAAAAGGCCATGGAAAATGTTATCACATTTCAGGCACCAAAATATCATTGTTTTAAAAAGAGGTTTACATGGGATGTCACACTGAGATGTTTAATGTAAACATTTTTAAAAAGTGCAATTTTATCTTATTCTTATATTTTGGTTATGATTACTCTTGTGCAAAGATGATGTGTGTGTGTGTGTGTGTGTGTGTGTGTGATGTCACTGACAAAGCTGGACATCTGGCTCTCTGATACTATCACAGAAAGGGTCACTTTTGAGAGAAAACACTGCTAGCTCACCAGTTCCCTTGGGCATCTGGGTGCTGGATATTGTCTGGGGCCCCTACGTCTTGCTGTGGAGGAGGGGGTTCTCTTTCTTCAGCTGCTCACCTGTCCACCCTGCTGATCCCTCTACCAGAGTTTGGTGTGTGAGAACAGCCGCTTTTTCTTTGACTACCACATCCTGCCTTTTTCTTGGGCTCCCCAGGTGGCTTAGTGGGTAAAGAACCCACCTGCCAATGCAGGAGATGTAAGAGGGGCAGGTTTGATCCCTGGGCTGGGGAGATTCCCTTGGAGGAGGGCATGGCAACCCACTCCAGTATTCTTGCCTGGAGAATCCCCATGGACAGAGGAGCCTGGCGGGCTAGAGTCCCTGGGGTCACAAAGAGTCGGACATGACTGAGCCATTGACACACACACACATGCATTTTTTCTCTCAAGGTTTGCCACTTTCATCTGCAAATTCTCTGAAGGGTGTATTGTATACTGAGGCAAGATGGGGGGTTAGGACCGAAGACACCTGCACTCGGTCAGAAGGTGTTCTCTTGTATGGACTTCCCTGGTGGTCCAGTGGTTAAGACTCTGCACTCCCGAGGTAGAGGGTGCAGCTTTGATCCCTGGTTGGAGAATGAAGATCCTGCATGCTACATGGAATGGCCTAAAAAAAATAAAAATATAAAAAGGTCTTCTTGTGTAAGAGTTTTCCTGAAATGTGATCTTGGCTTCCTCATCCACCTATGGATAAGTGGGGGCTGGAGACTTGGATGAAGAGGGCCGGGGACCTGCAGGATTCCATGATCTCCATCCTCTGTGCCTGGCGAGGTTAGCGCCTGGGCTATAATGCTGCTCCCAAGCCCTTCTCCTCCTCCTCCCTCAGGTCAGCCAGAGAGTGGAGTCTCACTGGCTCAGCCCCAGCTTCATGGGGCTCCTCTCCAGCTCAGCCATTCCTGACAGCACCCTGGTGTGGGAGCTCTGATGTCCCCCTCCCTGCTGGAGGGTCTGGGAACGGCTGACTATGACTGACATCGACCTCCCATTCCTGGGCAGGGATACGTGTTTAAGGGAGCTGTTCCGAGTTTTGCACAGTGGCCGGTCTGCTGTCTGGCCCTCCACAGGGCTCCAGACTCTGCCTGTGTGAGCCTGCCCCACTTGTTCTGGGGTTCCCAGACTCTGGGTGGTGGCTCACCCATACTCTTTTCTTGGACTCAGCCTGGTACCTGTGGGACTCCACATGGCCACTGTTCCCTGGCCTTGTCCATGAGTTCTTCCTGCCAGCTTTGGCCTGGGGGTGGTAGATTGGGGGTTTCTCAGGTTCACCCCTCCACTGGGAAGGGATGTTTGGGAACTGTATTGGTTATCTATCACTGCACAACAAGTCACCCCAAGATTAAGTCGTTTAAGAATAACAATAATCTGTCTTCTTCATGAATTTTCAATTCGGACTGCTCATGGCACAAGCTGAGGGGACTTGTCCAAGATGGTATACACGCATGGCACATAGGTGCTGGCTATTAGCTGGGAGCTCGTCTTGGGCTGTGGACCTGGGGTCTTGATGCCTGTCCACAGGCTTCTTTAAAGCAGAGCAGCTTGTTTCCAAAAGTAAGTGTTTCTAGAAAACAGGGTGAGCTGAGCTGAAGTCGCTCAGTCGTGTCCGACTCTTTGCGACCCCATGGACTGTAGCCCCCCAGGCTCCTCCATCCATGGGATTTTTCGGGCATGAATACTGGAGTGGGTTGCCATTTCCTTCTCCAGGGGATCTTCCTTATCCAGGGATCGATCCCGGGTCTCCCACATTGTAGGCAGACGCTTTACTGTCTGAGCTACCAGGGAAGCCCAGAAAACAGGAAAGAAGCCTTAAAAGTCACATGCTTTCACTTCTGTCACTTGATATGGATTGAAAGTCTCAAGGCTTCACTCAGCTGTCAGGAGAGAGGACATGGACTCCGCCTCTTGGCGTGAACAGCAAGGTCTAGAGGAGCACATTGGGATGGGAGATGCTGCTGTAGGAAGCTGAGATCGGCCGCAGGGATGAGAATGTGGTGGACAGCCTTGGAGACGGCCCCATGGATTCCTTCCTCCTGGGATCTGTGCCCTTATGGAATCTCCTCTTGTATGTGGGTTGAATTTTTTGGCTCACTTCTTTAAATTTGTAAAAAATCTTAATTTATTTATTTTTGGCTGTGCTGAGTCTTCATTGCTGCTTGCCAGTTTTCTCAGGTTGCACGAGCTTAGTTGCCCTGTGCCATGTGGAATCTTCCTGGACCAGGGACTGAACCCATGTCCCCTGCTTCAGCAGGTGGCTTCCTTACTGCCGGACACCAGGGAAGTCTTCTTGGCTCACTTGGTTCACTTCATGGATAAGACACAGGAGAAGTGATGGGATGTTACTTCTGAGATCAGATCACAAAAGTCTCTGTCTTGGGTGCCTTCTCTTGCTCTCTGCTGGGTCATTCATCCTAGGGATGTGGGCTGTCATGCCATGAAGCAGTCCCATGGAGAAGCCCATATGGCAAGTGACTGGCTGTGTCAAAAAACTGTGAGAGAGCTTGAAAACAGAGCCCCCAGTCAAGCCTTCAGATGAGACGGCAGCCCCCGCTGACAGCCTGACTGTGGGCACATGAGAGACCCCCTCATCAGAGGCCAAGCCAAGTCCAGATTCTGGCCCATAGAAACTGTGGGATAATAAATGTATTCTGATTTAAGATGCTGGTTTTTGTGTAATCTGTTACATAGCAGTAGATAACACAAATTTTGCCTGTCCCATGGCTCTAAATAAACCATGGGTCACAGATTGACAATAACTTAAAATTGTTTGAAAAGTGAAGGAAGAACAATATTTTGGTGACGAGATTTCTGCATCAGGAAGGACGTGTTTTTGCCAAGCTCCTGGCTCTTCACCAACTCCCTGGTTCATATGATCCTCCCAGCATCTGCTGGGCACGATCCCTCGGCTGTGCAGTGCTGGGAACAAACCCACATTTCTGCAGGGCCGGCAGTGAGACAGACGGATGAGCATCCTGTGTGGATCAGGCAAGGTTGAGGGAGAATCCTGCCCGGGGAAAGTCCCTGGAAGGACAGTGGGGTTGTCTTGGAGGGCCTGCAAGGAGGTACAGATGTGCGAGGAGGCTGGGGGAGGAGATTCAGTCTTGGGGTGGGTAAAAGACTCCCCACTCACTGCGTGGCTGAGGCAGGTGGCTGAGATTTTCTCCACAGCTACTTTGCCCTAGCAGAGGAGCAGCTGGTGAGAGCTGGAGGCACGTTTTCTGGTGTGCAGTAGAGGTGTTGATTTTGCAGAGTTTTGGCAGTCAGACCTGGGTACTGTGTCAGAGGCTGTCATGGGTGAGACAGGATGCAACAGGTGCCAGGGCTACAGGTCCTGTTCATGGGCCGGAAGATGCGCTGCATGTTGTGGAGCACTGTGGGAGGAGGGCCAGCCCTGGACTCCCTCCCTGCCAGGGGAAGCCCAGACCCCAGGCTTGGCTAGGAGGTCCTGACTCCCTACCCTGTGCCAGCCTCTCCCGGGCCTCCAACGCTCACTACCTGTCAGTCACCCTGAAACTCCTGCAGTTCCTGGAGCGGTCAGAGGCTGTTTGCGGATGCTTCTCCATTCCCTGGGGAGTTCCTTCCCCAACTGTTACTGTGACCTGTCCAAGTGACTCCTCCCTTCTGAGGCAGAGGGGATGTCACCCCACTCCTCCCTGCCTGGTAGCATCAACACCTTCTCCCACATCACTAGATCCTCCCTCCAAACACCCAGCACTTCGCTGGTGCTGAGACGCCATGACCGGGGCCTCCTCAGCCCACTTCCCTGCATCCAATGTCTTACCTCTGCTCTACAGACCCCCTGACCTGAGGGCTGACCACTGACTCGTTTTGAGGCCCTTCTTTGCATGAACACAGTGTTCTGGAAATGAAAGCTGGCCAGAACTGAGATAGGCCTCTGGGTCCCCTGACACCATCCCCACCAGACCTGGAAGACTAACTCATCTCTACCCTTGACATGTTTACTTTGTACCTTCCCTTTCGTGGTTTGGACCTTGAACCAGAGTCTGCATACTTCCGTATCTGAGTCACATCTATTTTGCTGACAGAGACTCCAAATTTTGTCCATCACCAAAATTCACAGGAAATGGCAACCACTCCAGTATTCTTGCCTGGAAAATTCCATGGACAGAAGAGCCTGGCGGGCAACAGTCCATGAGGTTGCAAAAGAGTCAGACATGATGGGGCATGCACGCACGACAAAGTTCACATGCCTGGAATCTCCCAAAGGAACATTAATTCACGTTTGGAAAGATTCTAGGGGCCACTTGTGGAAGGTGCTACATGTAGGAGATATTCTTTTAAAAACTGATTATAGACCCCCCCTCCCGAGGCCTTGTAATTAGGCAACTGTTGATGAACTTGAGTAGCTGCAAGTTTAATATCCAACTAGACTGTAATTAAGTCGGGCCTCCTGAAATAGGAAGCTCACAGCTTAGCAGTGGAGGAGAGGCGAATTCTACTCATTACAGGAATGCACTTGGATTCCAGGAACTTTGCCAATTATTTTTTCTGTAATTCAAATGTGGTTTTAATCTCCCTCCTTGCAATTTCCTCTTAGGTGAATGGAAATGTCTTCCTGTCTCCTTTCTTCTCTGGTTCTTAATTGATCACAAATCCTGTAGCTGCAGCCACTTGTGGGGGTTCAGTCTGAACAGTCTTGGTTCAGCCTGTGTCCCAGAAGTAGATTCAGAGAGATGTGTGGGGAACTCCTATGGGAGGATGGGTGGTGGGGTGAGGGGAGCCAGGGCCCAGGCATCTAACCTGGGACTGGCAGGACCTCGGCTTGATGTCCCAGCCCAGTTCCTCTTCCTGGGCACACTTGGACTATACTTTTCAGCCTCTCTGGCAGTAAAGCTGGGGTAATATGACTATGACTTGGTCAGTGGGACTTGGGCTGAAGCCAGGGGCATGCCAGCCTTCAGGCCTGAAGAACCATATCCTGTGTGGATTGACCAGCAGGTTGCAGGGGGTCCTGAGGAGGACCCCAAAGACCCCCCCAAAGACAGTGCCCTCCCAAAATGGCTGGATCTGGCCTTAGAGCAGAGCACTTGCACTGGG